TGTGCGCAAAATAAACGATAACAAAAAGGCGCGCTACTGTGTAAAGTATTGTAAGTTAAATTCTTAAAAACAATCATGTATATGTGTTCTTTTTGTTTTGACTTATATGGAACTTTGTTCTGTTGGTAATCCTACATTAGTCTTTTTTAACTGATATGCAGTAATAACGAATTCAAAATAAATTAAAATTACTTCTCCAAATTTGCTTTTACGACATTTTGTGTGTAGAGGCAGCCGCCATTTTTTTTCGCAAATTTAGAACCAAAGTCGTACGCAGTACTCTTATTGGTAGTTCCAATTGGCGATGTGAATTACATTTAAACAGTTGTTTTAAACTAAAGTTAACATTTTTTTGTAATCTATTACATATTGAAGAGAATAAATTTACTTTTAATTAAACATGTTTAATATATACGAATTCTTCGATTGACTTAGGGGCAGTACTACGACAAAATATGAGATGACAATTTTAATTCTTATTAACTAAAACCAAAAAAAAACTAATTTTTTTTAAAACGATTAATGTACTTTGCACGACATTTGAATTAGATATACACTATAGTTAGAATTACATTGAGTCTAATAAATCTGTTTCAATTTCATTAAAATCAAGTTAATTTCCTTTCTTCTAATTATATTTCATTTTTAATTATAGTTGCAACTAAAAAATGTATGATATATAAGATTAATATGATATTTATGGGCCAAATGTTACTCGAAAAATATTAAGCTGGAATTGGGTATTGCATTTGGAGTTAGTAGGGACTCAGGAGCTACTAAGAACTATAAGGTAAGCGCAATAAATCTGAACGATTTTTGTTTTAAAAATATTTAATATGCCGCACACGGACGATTATCGTAGTACACGGGCTAGTTACAACAGCAATCGAAAAAAATTGAGAAAAGAAACAAAGATTTAAAATTAGAGTACTCCTTTCAACGATTAACAAAGTTCTGTTTTATTTTACGTTAAGCACAAAAAGCTCATATTAACAGGGTTACAATATGATATGTAGTTACTATATAGATAGATCAAATTATTAAGTAGTACCAAATAACTAATAAATTTACTCTATAGAAACTTGAACGTGTAAATAATAAGTTTTAAATTGTATTACATTAAAAAATATATACGATATTGTATTAACAAATTGTACTAAATAACATCCACATAAAATTTTTTATTATAATTTTGTTCTTATAACTCTTACTTTTAATTTAGCTTAATACTAGAACAAAACATATTGATTATGATTGAAGCGATTTTGAAATACTGTTGATTGTTTATTAACAAAGGTGCATTCACATTAATATAGGCGCGTAATAGTTTTGTATTGTTAACCTTAGAAACTTATATTATTTAAAATAATTTAGTGACAGCCTAACTAAAATTTAATTAACAAATGTTTTGTTAATCCAGAATCAGTGGCAATCAATATACAAATACAAATAAACCCTAGTGTGCAAATTATTAATATGGATGGGGTTAACCACCAATTGAGGAAGAAAAGATAAAGAATTAATGAATATATAACATATTTATATATTATATTATATATTATTATTATATATTATTCCGAATTGAGAAAAAAAACAAATCTTTTGTTTTTATATTAACCTCATGTCTGCAAGACTAACTAGCAGATTAGGTCTTTCGTAATACCTATGTGTATGTGGTCAAAATTCGAAGTCATGACTTATGTAGCCCTTATTAAATATATTTAGGTATTATTATTTTTTTTTATTTTATGTAAATTAAAGAAGAATTAAGTGAAAGCGGTGCCAACTTTGTGGACATAAACTTGTCCACAACTATAAACTTTAGGAAATCAATATGCGCTTTGTACTTACACTTTTTCGATTTGCTTTTCACGAAAACATAACATATGACACATTGCAACAGTAATGTCAATTTGCGCTACACTTTAAAGCTGCCAAAAGCACCTAAAATCAGTTTTAAAAAATGTGTGCGTGATATATTATAAGCATACCTATATTAATTCGTTTTGCAATAATTCGTTTCTTTAAAGCATGTTTATATACATTCATGAATTTTAACAAGAACAAATCTGTGTACGATTGAAAACCGATAAGGTAAAAGATTTTCAAATAAAAATTTATTAACATATTGTTTTGTCTAGTAAAGCAATCACAGAACCAACAAAAAATTTAAAAGAGACCAAACATCTAATTATATTTATTATTTTTGCATCTGGCAATCTGGCGATGTCAAGTCAAATTTTCATTAAATTCGCAAACCAACTGTCGACAGTTTGTTTGTCACAGGACAACCAATAAACAGTTGTAGAAGTACATGCTGATTGATGCGCGGTTAGTAACAAAAATAGCTTATAAGTGAGCGGACGGTAATGGTTTTGGTTCTGAGAAAATTGCGTAAATTAAAACAAACTTTATTTTGTTTGGTAATATTACATTGATTTTGTGTATCAGAGCCGTGCGCGGTGTGCTAATTGTTAGTGGCAGTTATTTACGTTTAAATAAACCAAGATCCTTATATACATAAACATGTATATATTTTACCCAGCGGCAATAATTTTTTTTTAACGAAACCCATTTTATAATTTAGAGCATGGTAAGAAACAAAAACAAATTTTTTTGTTGGAATTTACTGGAATATAACTTAAAATTAGTAGAAACCGTTTAAAATCTCAGAGTATGAGTTGGTGTACATATATTAAAACGAACTTTAGTATAGATTTATTTGTTAGAATTAAAACAATTTAAGAATATAAAATGGTTTAATATAATTTCGAATGCAATTGCTTTTATTTAGTGTATGTATGGAAACATACATATTTTAATATACATGGATCGCACCAATTCGATAATGGAAAACACGGCTGCAACAGTCATTTAGTTTTACTTATTATTAATCATTTAAGTTTTTACTATATTCAAATTAATATAAATAATGTGAGATTATTGATATTAATATAATAATATTATTATTAATCTAATATCATCATATAAATATAACAATATTTATATAATAAAGTTAATAGTAATAATAATATTAATTTTTATGATGCTTAAACTAGCTAAGAATTTTCTTTTGTTTTGTATGTGTTGCGATACAAAAACATTTTTATATCAATTTGAAATTATCACAATATTAATGAAATATATTTTTAAGAATATAAATCGTTTAAAGAAATATCGGTTCGCATAGAAAATACCTGTAAAAGCATTTCGTTAGTGGTCAAGAAAGATACAACACAATATCCTTGGCACTATTAAGGATCAAACTTATGAGTACGCGATTAACCAAAACTTAACTTAACAAAAACGGAATAGAACCGTATATATCGGTTTCTTGCACTTTTTGCAGTTATTAATGTTGCTAGTATTTAACTTATGGTGAACTGTAACGAAAAAATACATAAACTAAATAAATCATTTATTATATATTCTTAAGTGTACTACACATAACAGATCTTTTGTATTTACTTCCATAATAACTTATTTCTTCTCGAATCCAAAACAGGTAAACAGATATACTTATTAAAAAATAGATGATTTTATTTTTAAAGAACTTAAAAATATAAAATTTAGGGCCATTTATAAATTATTGAAGTATTTCAGAAAACAACCTCCTGGAGACCAAAGTTAAGTAGTAATAGAGGGAGCTTCATTGTTTCTTACTTTCCTAAGTTTCCACAATGATGCTGGGAAGGAATGCACAACATAGATTATTGAATATTATATTGAATATATATTGAATTTTTTCATTATTTTATATTTCGCATATAATATATTAAAAGTAAGATATATATTCCTAATAAGTAAGAGGTTTAAGTTTAAATGTAGCTGGATGAACTATTAAAATTATAACAAACATATTTTGTGTCAATAGACGACATTGACGACCTAAGCTGTGGTTGTATTTTAGACTATTTTTTTATTTGCTAGAGAGTCTAATAAATCTGTTTAAATTTCATCGAAATCAAGTTATTTTCCTTTCTTCTAATTATATTTTATTTTTAATTATAGTTGCAACTAAAAAATGTATGATATATAAGATTGATATGATATTTATGGGCCAAATGTTGCTAGAAATTATATGTGTTATTTCAACTGGAATTGGGTATTGCCTTTATAAAGCGCATAGATATACAGGAGCTAAAAAGTAAGGATTAAGGTAAGCTCAATATATCCAAATAATATTCTTTATTATGATCTTATTCTTGTAACTCTTACTTTTAATTTAGATTAATACTAGAAGAAACTATTGATTATGATTGAAGCGATTTTGAAATACTGTTGATTGTTTATTAACAAAGGTGCATTCACATTAATATAGGTGCGTAATAGTTTTGTATTGTTAACCTTAGAAACTTAAATTATTAAAAAATAATTTAGTGACAGTTTAACTAAAATTTAATTAACAAATGTTTTGTTAATCCAGAATCAGTGACAATCAATATACAAATACAAATAAACACTAGTGTGCAAATTATTAATATTATGGATGGAATTTAACATCAATTGATGAATAAAAAGGTAAAGAATTAATGAATATATAACATTTATATATTATTCTAGTACTTCCGAATTGAGGAAAAAAACAAATCTTTTGTTTATATATTGGCCTCATTTTTGCAAGACCTAACTAGCAGATCAGGTCTTACGTAATACCTATGTGTATGACTTATGTACTTATGTAGCCTTTATTAAATATATTTAGGTATTAATATTTTTTTTTTATTTTATGTAAATTAAAAAAGTATTAAGTGAAAGCGGTGCCAACAAAATTATATTTAAAAACAATTATGCATTAATAAACATAAACTTGTTAACAACCAAAAACTTTAGGAAATCAATATGCTTGGTACTTACACTTTCTTTATTAGACTCAATTTAAAAATTTGTATTTTTCGAATATATTTTTTCAATAATTTAAATTTAATAATTAATATTAATTTAATAATTTTAAATTTGTGAATATTTTAAATTTTGTTCCTATTTTTTCCTACACACAATTTTGAAGGATGATTGGAATTTATGGTAGAGTTTCAAATGAAATTTTTCAACAGACTGTTTATTGCGTATCGCATTAGTAACATTAATTTCTGCGTTCTATTAGATGATTAGAAACTTGATATCTAGTCTAATGGATCAAGAGAGTAGTGTTGTTCCTTCACATACACATTAAAGACGTGTTTTTGTCGCACGTTGAAACGTCAGAATGTAGCTATTATAAAGTAATATAATATAATGACTTAATTAAATTCATTTTTCTTTTTCTGATTAAAAATACCACCTTAACATAATTGAAAAATAAGTATATTGAAAAAGACTCTCATAATGATAATTTTATTTCCTTTCAGCTATGTTTAATGCGAATAAGCAAAAAAAAAAATCTAAAAAAATGTATTAAATCAGCCTTGGCTGTTAACCGGATGGAAAATTTTAGGTTTAAACGAGCAAAAGCTTTTACATATAAAGAATTGCTTTCAATGGGCTGTGCGTCGTTACTCGGATTAATTTCTCTACGTTAATCGTATATGGTATTATCTGATATAAAAAATGTGAGCGCAAATTTGTTTAAATTTGACTGAACTAAAATATATTTCCGAAGAATTTATTGCGCACGTATTTAGTCGAAGACTACGAGTTTAATTTTGATACTTAATATCAGTTGTAAGTCTCTGCATTTAATTGAAATTAATTATTTCAATTCAATTAAGAAATGAATAAACTGAAAATAAATAGACTCAAAATATTGCTTAAAAAATTAAAATGCTGTGAATAAAAGCAGTTAACTGCTGCAGTGAGATATGCGCATAGAAACGAGAAATGCATCAACGAAGTACATAAGGGGTATGCTTATAAAAATATTTGCCATTTGTAAATTTCTAACTTCATTTTTGGTCTTTTAGGAATTTTTAATGGAAATGATAAAATTGTACATGTAGAGTATAATATAAACAACAATAGCAGATCAATGTGGATATGGTGCCAACAGATGTTATCCAAAGAATATTCTTACCTTGACTCGATTGTTACAGAATCTGGAAAAAAACAGGTGAATTTTGTATATAGAACTAAAAAAAATAATACCTATGAACCGGCGGGAGACTTTAAAAGTATGACATTCTGTCTCACTTGTGATATGGAGTGAAGATATATCGAACCTTATATTGAAGTAGTTTTAATAATTAACTTATAATGATTAGATGATATTTATAAAATATTTTAGCATTTTAAACTATTTTATATTTTGTTATGTAGAGTGAAAACATAAAGAACCCTTGTTTTTGTTGCCAATTTATAAGAATCGACAAGCCATAATTTACTCCTTAAAAACAAGCAAACTACACGCAATGAACGCTTGTTGTCTGGTCGCATGTAGTTGTAAGCGCCTGTTATCAGCGCTGGCAAAAGTTCAAAAATAAAAATACGTGATTTTATCTGTGCCGACAGTTTCATATATGTATTCTTACTAATGTGCAACTGCCGCCGACGTTTCTTAGCTTTACCTAGTTTTTTAGGTTAACTCGTGTTCAGTTTTTATACTTGTCTATATTGCCAAATAGTTTTAGAGCTCTGCCTTTGATGAACTTCGGCTCATACAGTAACTACTATCCTTAATGCTTTATTCTGGAATATTAACAGGCTATTGGTGCAGGAGAGAAATGATTTATTTATATATTAGTATACAATTATTTGAGTGGTGATTCTTTGAAAATGTCAATGGACTAGGGGATTCAAGTTGTGGGCCGTAATCTAACTTTTTCTGATTTATTTAAGAAATTTATGTAAAGTTTTTATCAAATTGTAATTCTTAAGAACGATCAAACAATTCAAATAAGGTTAAAGTAACCCTATATGTTAAACACCTAAACTAATGTAACTAGTGTTACATACTCATTCAAAAGCTAATATTATATATTTTAGTCTATTTATTTCTCCAAGTCCATTTAGTCTTTTAGTTATTAGTTATTTAGTTATAAGGAACTGAAGTGTTTTGTCTAGCATCCATATTGTTCTTAGCAAATTGGGACAATCAATTCTAATATGCTAGTAACCTGATTAGGGTACATAGTTAGTTTCTTCGCAAAGGCCATATAGCATACGAAAGTTGGAGAATTTGGTCTACAAATTTTCGTTTTAAATATTTATTTTTTCTATTACAATAGGTGGTTAAATACAAATTGTTGATACCAAATTTATTATAGGTGTTTCTATATGTATTAAATTTTTTTGCTCGATTATGTAGGTATTCAATCGTTGTTACTATTCTCAGCTACGTAGTGGTCACTATTGATTACAGATTCACATTCATATGCTTATTGGTTTCATAATTACTTTACTTATTTTTGCTGAAGACCAGTTTCGACGGATTTAGATATAGTCGCGTAATCGTCAAATTTTAAGTATGGGTGGCAGAATATTTTGTTTGATTCCAAGTCAACCAATCTCACGTCAATTGATTTACATTGGAATGTTAATAGTAAAGTAGATGAATTTAAATTATTTGTTAGAGAATATTTCAAGATATTTTCAGTCAAGCAATTCTACGTTAATTATAATTTATAATTGTTTCGAAGTATTTGGAGTTTTAAGATTAAGTTATTTTAGCAGCAAATAGATTAGATTAGTTGAAGAACAATATTGATATTAATGATATTAATAAATCCTTTATATTTTTTAAATTTGTTTTAATGTTCATTAAGAATTGAGTCTTCGAATATCAAAACACGGACAACACTGTTCAAGACCTGGTAAAACTCCCTTTCTTCTCAATGTACTTATGAACATCCTCTCTCTCCTTGAATTTGTCATATATCTTATTTTTATTTTCTGATTTCATTTATTAATTGATTAATTAATTAGGATACAACAATCCCCTTCGTATCTGTGTAAGGGATTCTTACATTGTAATAGTAATTGAAATAAGTTTAGATTTAAATAAGTAACATAGCTTTACAAATTGTTAATTTACCATCTAATAGTAACTGATACTAATTATTAACAAAAAAAAAATTTTCTTATTATTACTTTGACTATTTACATTATAAACAACAAGTAGCTTCTGTCTGATCAATAATACAAATACATAAATAAGCAATATTTAAATCAAACTAACTACTGTACATTCTAATTAGATCCCTTGTCAGTGACATTTCGCTGTTTTAGTCGTCTTGGTTGTCTATACGAGGATATGATGTTAACAGCTTCTGTATTTACATGTTGCTGCTATCTCAGTTTGTGACATATTGCTTTCGCTTTTATTGATTCTTTAACGGAATCAGCAATTGCCAAAATAGCAGTATCATCTGCAAATGTTGCAATTTTACTTTCAGGTGTTATGAGTAAATCTATAACACCACATCTTCTATTTTTGTCATCTTTCTGTGGTCAACAGTGAAGGCTTGGGTTGGTTACAGTGGCAGGTCATTAGATAACTTCCATGTACCTTAATTAGCGATTTTTTACCGTTTTACGAGGTTTATTATACCTTGTAATCAAAAAAAGAACTTATTCGTTCTTTTTTTGAATTCCCGCGCTTATCCAATCGGTAAATTATTTTTATTTTCACGCTGGCAATACTATTATGCACATTCTGTCAAAGTTTAACGCATATCGTACGATTAGTTTTTGTTTGGCGTCTCCTCGGAGTAGATGGCACCTGAGTAGTGCAGGTCTGGGATACTTTTATTGGAACCACAAATTTGACTGATCGTATTGAAAACGTCAGATCTGCATGTGGTAGTGCGAAGTTTAGCTTGTAAGCTAATAGATCTAGCTCTATTAATTCTCTGAGATATAATAGAGTCTAGGTTTTTCAGAATCGCTCGAAATTGAGGAGCAAAGGTAGAGCCAACCGCCCTAAGACGGTAGACTTTACGACGAAGGGATTTCCTGTGCCTAATGAGGTTCAGAGTGCAACTGTCGAGAGGTACCTGATAGCTTCGAAGAAGTCTAGCTTTGGGAACATGTGCCTCAACTGTACTGGAAATGACAGACTCTAGTTCAGAGACCAAAATGTCAAGTTCAGAGCAGGACACATTCCTATGTTCCGGGATATTAATATTAAGTAGATATTGGCCCAGAGTGTTATTAAATTCTAGCCAATCAGTGGCTGCAAAATTATAGATGAATTATAGTAGAAGCTCTGCACCCAGAAAGAGGAAGGTACACCGCTTGATGATCAGAAATGCCGTCTATGACGGAAGGTTCTCCAAGGAAATTGTGGAGCCTGTTATCTATCAGAAAGAAATCGAGAACAGAGTTAAGGCGTGTTGGAACAGAGGGGGCGAGAACCCTAATGTCGTGACTCAGTGAATTAACACTGAGCCATTCATATAAGACAGTACCATTAAAACAGGTACTTTCATTAAACCAAAGGGTGTGCTTACTGTTAAAGTCACCACCGGTTTTGATTACCCGGTTTTGAGTGAGGGTTAGAAGAGTGTCTAAGTCAGATGGCTCAATTCGCGAAGAAATAGAGGGAGTATAGTAAATACAAAACAAGTCAAGGAAAAAGCGATTGACTTCAATGGTAATCCCTACACCTTCCATGGAGGCTAGAGGAGGTATGGAAATACGAGAGAAGCTAAGGGAATCCCTAATGAGAATAGCGACTCCCCCACCTCTGCCGGCTCTATCATAGCGAATAAATTTATATTCGCTAAACCTAACTACATTTTCAAGGTTAAGGTGGGTTTCAGTGATAAGCCCAATATCAGGCCTATTCTGTCTAATAAAGTCTTGAAAGATTCTGCGCTTGAGGTTGGAGTATAATGAGTTGACGTTTAAGAGAACGATACGAAGACCGCTCATCTTACCGCAAACTCAAAGGCTTTATGGATGAGGAAAACCCTACGATCTTCTTCGGAGGCAAAGCTGGAATAATGCTGTCTGAGACCGGAGGCAAAGGAGAAGGCCGACATAAAATCAGACAAGAATGAGTCAGAAGCAAACGATGGAGCAGATTGAGGTGCGGATCGCACGCCAGCACTGGCTGGCTTGGGGACTAACTTAGCCATTAGTGGCTGAGGAGAAGATTTAGGTTTCGCCATTGAGGCGTAAGAAATATCTGGCGTGACAAAGGTAGTTAGTGGCCTAAAGGGAGGAGTGTGAACCTTTTTAGGTTGCCGCACACGTCGCGCGCGAACCTCTTTAAATCCAGCACATCTGAAGTTTGCAGGGTGGCCAACTTGGCCACAATTGCAGCACTTCGGAAGTGTGCTGGGCAATTGCTGTTGGGTTGATGGATCGAAAGCTGGAGCAGGAATTTTACATTCGCCTTTAGCGTGAGTTTCCCCACAGCGAACGCAACGGCTAGGGAAGTTGCGAAGCTTAGCAGTATGGTAATACCGCTGGCAATTAGTGCATTGTGGAACCTCGGTGCGAGATTTCCGAACAATTGACACAATAATATTAAGAGAGGGGAGCCGGGTAACGCTAAGCAGAGACTGAAGGTCCGTGCCTGGCGTTGGATGGAGCTCCCAAAGGGAGGAAGAGGCATATTGGCCAGGGTTGCGCTTAACAAAGCGAGGTGAAAAATTTAGCAATTTTCGTGAACGAAAATTGAGGAAGGTCAACCGCGAGGGCGGCTTGGAGATCCCCTTCATCATAAGATGAAGGGAAATTCTTTAAGAGGACTGGAGTGGTCCGATCCTCTTGAGGAATTGAAGCATAAGAGGGTACTTGGTTCTCCTTAAGGAGAGCATGAATATTATAAAAGGAATCCTTGTTTTTAGCAAGGATTCGAGTGGTAGTACTGTTCACGCACTTTAGTTCATAAACAGCATCGGGGAGGTTGGACCTAATGCTACTACTGAGTAGCTTAATGTTTGCTCCGCGGGCGGTTATGGCGGGCGGGGCTTTAGAGTTAGGCACGCGTGGGGACAGATGGGTTACCGGAGAAGGCAAGGGATTAGAACCTGTCAAGGGCTTTGAGGCAAGAGGAGATGAACAAGAGGGCCCAGTAGATGGTGATGGCTTACGCGTAGATTGGGACTTAGGAGCAGTAGGCTTGTTGGTAGTCGACGAATGACTAGCCAAAGCGGGCTTTGGGCCAAAGGCGGTTTTGAGGTCAAGGTAGAAGACGCAGTGGGGAGACAGGTAGTGGGTGTTGGAGCGACGGAAGTCGCTTAACACTAAGAAGGGCCTTAATATTAGTGGAAGGGTCAGGATGGAGCTCCCAAATGTTGGAGTTAACATATCGGGAGGGGTTGCGCTTTGTAAAGCGCGAAGGGGGAGAGAATTAGGAGACCTTTGAAAAAGAGAACTCCGGAAGGTCAGTGGCCAAGGCCGACAATAAATCATCCTCGTCATAGGACGAGGGGAAATTCTTAAGGAGGACAAGGGTGATTCTGTCCTCAGAAGGTATGGAGGAAAAACTATTAACTTTTAACTCTCGAAGCAGAGAGTTGATGCTATAAAAAGTATCCTTACTCTTGGTAAGGATACGAGTGGTGTTGCTGTTTATGCATTTAAATTCATAAACAGCATTTGGAAATGCTAGTTTTATAGCGGAGCCAAGCTCCTTAATATTCAGGCCACGAGCCGTAATGACTGGTGGCGTCTTGGATTTAACAGACAAAGCCGAAGGGGCAGTAGAGGTGATAGGAGGTGTAATGGAGCCCTTGGGGGCAGAAGAAGGCTTGGGGCCAGAACAAGGCTTGGAAATAGGCTTGGAGAAGGTTTAGGAGAACTAACAGCACTGCCGACTGCAACAGCAGCAAGGGAAGGAGGGACGGTGGCTGAGGTGGAAGGTACATTGTCCTTCAGAAGTGCCAGCTCAGTGGCGAGGGAGGAGTTCTCGGCGTGAAGCCGGGCGTTGTTAGTCTTAAGGGCTTCAACAGCTTTTAAAAGCGACGCAATCTGTTCGTCGATACGTTGACGTCGCTGCGATTTAAGGGACAGAATAACTTCAGTCCTGGGGCGCTTGGATGAAATGGCTGTGGCGGTCGTCCCTTCATCAGGGTTGACCTCACCACAAATCGGATCACCGTCACCGTCCTCCATTTATGCGAGTAAAAAAACAACGAGTGAAAAGGATAACAAAAGTAAAAGAAGAGACAAAGAATAAGAAAAATAAAACTAAACAAAACAACAAAAA